ATGTCTCCCTTCCTCTGGACAGACTCTGTTAACACACCAAGTTCCCACATATTACCGTCTCCAACATCAACATCCCAGCTGTGGTTCCCTGAGTTAAAACCCTCAGAGCTCAGGACAGACCGTGACTTAAATCTCTCTGGATTATCAGGAAGCTGCTGTTCGTGTCCTGAAGTCAAACTGGTCAAATCTTCAGACAGGATGACCTTTGACCCAGCGGTGTTTGGGTCCAGAACCAGAGGAGTGTAGGTCACCATGCCCTTCATGTTGCTCCAGATGTTGAAGGCCAGGTTGCCCTGTTGTTTGGCCTGGTCTATCAGAGCTCCTGAGGGCAGCTGTGGATCCTCCAGCAGGGGGCAGCACTGGACTCTTTCCACTGCAGCCTTGTAGTTGTGCAGGAATGAGACGTCTGCAGCTCTCAGCTCCTCCTCTGTGGCTCTGACTGTGTCTGAAAGAGCTGCTATCTCTCTGCTCAGAGCCTCCATCTTCTCCTTCATCATCCCTCTCTTCTGCTCCTCTTCCTCCCTCAGTGCAACCAGCCTGGCCTCCTCTTCCTCTGCTAGAAACTGGTGAAGCTTCTTAAACTGCTCAACAATCTGCCTCTCTGTGTGTCGGGCCTGGACCTCCAGGTGTTCTGCTGTCTGATCAAACTCCTCTTTAACTTCCTTCTTCATCTCCAGGTTCTTCTTTAAAGGCTCCAGAGATGTTTTCAGTTTCTCTCTGTTGCTGAGCAGCTTCATCGATGGGCCTGAATCTGTGCTTGGAGTGTTTTTCTGAATCTCTGCAGACGAGACAAACTGGCTGCTGATGGTCCAGACAGAAGAGTTTGAGTTTCTCAGAGTGCAGACTGCAGAGACGCTTTGGAGCATTTTGGATTTTCTGCTGTAGGAATGATTCACACAGGTTCTCCAGAACCAGATTACAGGGTGGTTCCATCCTTGAAGATCTCCTCTTACAAACTGGACACTCTCTTGCTGGTTCCTCTCTCCACCAGTTCTTCAGACACTCCCTACAGAAGCTGTGGCTACATGACAGAACAACCGGATCCGTAAAGACGTCCTGACAGACCGGACAGCAGAGATCCTCCTCTAACCTGGAAGCCATTTTGTCTCTGAGTGAAGCTGAAAACACAGAAGGTCCAGTCAGTCTCGGCTCCCTCCCTCCTCTACTAACTTCCCTCAAAGTGACTCTGAGTGTTTTGGTCCAACTCACCTTCAGTGTGAGCAGCTTGAAGCAGCAGAGCTGGAGGTTTCCACTTTTCCCTCCTGCAGCTGGACTCACTCAGAGGAAGCTGCTAGTTTGGTCTGAAGGTGAATCTGATCGACTCTCTGCAATGAGCAACAACCAGTTAAGTTCCACTTGGAAGTTCAATCCAAAGGTTAATAAATCTCTGAGCTGCTGTAAAACCTCCTGAATCTTTATCAGATCACCTGAGTGAAGTCGGCTCCAACCCTCATCTCCTTAAAATTAGACGGAATTGGTGTCAAAAGTTTTCATTTGGGCTGCTGTCATTTTAAAGATATCAATGAATGTTTCCAGAGGTCATCAAAGGTCAACCAGCCAATTCATTTATAAAAATTAAATATGATTTCAATCAGCTGTGCCACATTTGTGCAACAAAAAATGTGTGAAATGACAAGACTTTTATTTTAAAAAAAAAGTTTTAGGTAACCAGAGATCAACGCTCCCGTCTCCACATGAACAAACTCAAACAATGTTAACAATGATTCACACCAAATTTGTTTGATTTTGCAAAATGTGTGTGGTGGGGGACGAGACGCAGATTTTTCCATTAAAGTTTTATTTAACCATAAAACTCCATGAGATAAAGTGTCCTGACACCAGTACAGAAGACTTTTCTGGGTTGATGGGCAGATTGAATAAAACTTAGAGAATGAAAAGAAAAAGATCACAGAGAATAATGACGAACTGCTGAATCATCAACATAATGTTCGTGTTTCCTGCTTCTGGGCTTCATTTCTGTTCACTAGTCTAAAATCTCACCTTTCTGTTTTTAAATCTTGTATTTCCTTTAATAGCTGATGATCTTTCATTATTTTCTGACAGTGAAATGGTGAAACTGGGTAAAGGGGTTCTTTCAATGAGCGAGGCCGTATGTCAGCAATATCCGCAGCAGGTTTAACTGCCTGATCTGAGCTGATAAGGCCAGCAGGTTTGGCAGGGAATGAAACTTCCCTCCTTCCAAAGCAAACAGTCACTTTAACTGTTTCGGGGTTTCCAGCAGCTCTGAGACACTTTCCCTTCATGCTGCTAATATTAGTCTGCCAGAGGAGTTTTCACAGGCAAACGGCGCGGAGCACGCGCCGGTACGGCCGTTGGGTTTTCCCCGCTTCACAATGTTCTAATCTGAACTTGTTTCCTTCTCATCATGGATGAAATGAAACAGCAAACAGGAAAATCCCCACCTCGTGTCCCAGCTGTCAAAAGTAATAGAAACACTGATTCCAATCATTTTCTGAAGATAAGTGGTTATTATTACAGGCTGTCCCCTGAGAGTGAGGCTCTCCTTTCTCCCATTCACTTCCTGAGCTTTGCTGCATCTTTCGGCCGCTGCTGCCGGTCCGTCCCATGACGAACTCACACCTGGGGGCGAGTCGGCGTACGCCGTCAGACTGTGGGAGGAAACATGCTCTCAGGAAAACATGGAAACTCCACACGGAAAGGCTCCAGATGAGGTTTGGATCCAGAATCCTCTTTATGTGTGAATTTGCCCAGATTTAGGGTTAAATTGGCATTTAGCAGCAAAATCTCAGTCATAAAATACCAAAAACCTCTAAAAGTTTTTATAAATAAGCAAATCTAAGCCATGCAGAATTCACACATTATTTTTGTGCTGTTTTATAATCAACAAAAATATAAATGTATTTCAGAGGATACAGAAAATATCTATGATTAGTCTGTATATGGGCCATTTGTTATGATTACTGAATAGACCAAATATACTAAAAATATATTTTAGATGGTGAAAAAAATGTTTAATTACAGTAGATGGAACAAAAAATAAATGCTAGAACACCAACTTGTCAATAGGATGATAAATAAGGATGTGAGAAAAATATATAATGAAATGTTTGGTATGTTGGCTTTAATGTGGAAAAATTAAACTAAATAAAACAGGAGCAAGTTTTAAGCCTGATTTTGACAAATAATGTCTATTTTCTTTGAAAAAACATATTTACTGGAAATTAGAATATACATCCCAATGAGTCGTGTTTGTCAGATTACTTTTTGAAAATAACCTTTAGCAGGTATTTTCATTAAACCCACATTTCTGTTTTTACAATGAGTTTCTTTATTTGTTTGATGTATTATTTCAATTTTAAATTATGCAGAGAATCATCTTAATTAAAATATAGGCATCTGTGTGTAATTAATCTATATAAAACATTTCACTCAGTGATACAGTTCCTCAAATAAATTGACTTTACAATAATAATCTGATTAACTGAATGGGTTAACTCAGCCGCAGAGGAAAATACAAATCTTTCCAAAAAGAAAACATTTTATAAAAATATGTTGGAAAGTTTAATTTCCAACATTTGTTTATTACACATAATTAATGTCTAAATTTTGTTTTTGACTTAGTAATTGTTCATAAAATCTATTTATCTCAGAACAACAAAGTTCCAGTTTGGTCTTGATAGAAAAACTGTTGTTTTTCTTTTTTTAGGTAATTAATGTGAAAGTGAAAACAGCGACCACTCATCAGAAAAGAAAAGGATGCAGTCAGGAAAATGAAATGAACTGTGCTCTAGTGGTGAGAGAATGAAAGAGTAGAAAGGAGGAAGAAGATGTCGTCACCCTGAGTTTCCATGAAGCAGCGGAGAGGAAAAACCCGTCGGTTGCTTCAGCTTTCCCTGGAACAGACAGAGAACCTTTTAATGGCAGCTTCATGACTGATTAACTCAGAGAAATTCAACCAGCGTTCTCTTATCATTCATGCAGTTATTTCTGTTTGGAGGAAAGTGAAAGTGGTCCGTAACACCCCGAGTTAGATAAGATAAGCTTTAGGTTGGTTGTCTTAAAGGTTTGTATTGTTATTAACTGTCATAAAAACAGATACTGACTGAGACAGAAGAATACAGAGAAAGAAAGCAGCTCCACTTTAAAAAAAATTAGATGTTTTAACGCTAAAGGAACATAAACTGCTTCCTGTGTTGCCAAACTCCAGATGTCTGAGTGACTCTACAGCATTGCATATTCTCAAACAACAAATTCTGGACTAGTTACTTTATTATTACTACTATTTCTGAATTGGTAAAAATATAAATACTGTGTTATTTCATATACAACCTTGCACCATAAACAGTGGAAGCTACTTTTAAAACTTTATCAGTCTGGTTTTCAGCTAAATAAAGTAGTTTTTTCATACATGACAACATTATTTTACATGATTCATTATAAACGCAAAACCACTGAATAAAAGTCTGTGGAACATATACAGATATTTAAGGCAAATCTGAACCTAACTTTTGGTGAATGTTTAATTTTGAATTTAAATGTAGTTTTAATTCTCATCATTTAAGCAGCCAAAGAGCTTTTTATTCAAAATTTGTATCAGAAGCTGCAGTAAACCAACACATTTTCAGTCTTGATTTAAAGGAACCATTGGGTTCTGAACATTTTTTCAGGCAGTGTGTTGTCCATCTGAGGAGCAGAGAAACTAAATGATGCTTCACATTTTTGCTGGTTCCGGAAACACTGGGTTCTGAGCTGGATTAGTTCTTTTTTAACGACCCATATCGTTAAAAAAAAGTGCTTTCACAACTCAAATAAAGGTATCCTCTCCAATATGGCGGCTGCGTTGACGTATGACTGCTCTAAAAACAACCAGAATCCAGGCCGCCTTCCCTCACCAACATGGCGGAGTTTTTTGTTGTTGTTGTTGCTGAGGGGCGGAGTCAACCTGTTGGGTTACGGAAAATTTCGCAACGTCACGGATTTTGATTGGCTAAGTCATTCCATATGAAGCACGGAGGACCCGGCGCGTGAGCCCCAGTAGAGATCCAGCGGTCAGCGGAGACAGACATAGCACAAGACAAACGGTCAAAGCGACAAACACCGGAGCAGACGGAACCTTTCCTGGACTAAAGTTGGACCCAGGAGCAGTGAAGACTCACCAGTCCGAACCCGAAGCCGGTAGAAGGTGTTAAATATCGGCGCTGCGCAGTTTTATCCTCCTGTTTCTGATCCAAGCAAGCTGCGAAGTGAGAGGACAGCCATGATTTCCCCCCTGTGCCTCGTGTTGATGCTGTCCGCCTCCGTCCTCTCAGAGTCGGTGAGTCCATCCAGGCCGAACCGAACCGAGCCCACTGCTTTCTGTGCTTGGTTTAACGGGTTCAGCTGTGTCTTTGGTTGATTTGTGTCTGGTTTACTGTAAAACTGCGGGTTTTCAGGCTCGGACTCCCACAGCCTGCTCCTATTATCCCAGATGGGGCCCAGATTGGGGAGGGGGTGGGGGGCGGCTCCAGAACCAGAACCAGAACTGCTCAGTTGTAACCCAGATAACTTTTCATCTAGTATCCAGCCTAATCTAACTTCATAGATGTCTGTTTTAGTATAAATGTTGAGGAGAAACTTGAACAACCCGGGGGTTAGAGCAAGTTTTCCCTCCTCCTCCAAACATTTGGGAAGAGTTAAACAGGGACTTCCTGTGTTCCCAGATCCAAAAGGTTGACTTAATCCCGAAAGAATTTGTGTGCTGCGGGTTTGGAAGAACCAGACTCCCTCCCTGGACTTTTTGGTGTCGGTTTGGGCTTTTCCATTATGTTTGCTGATCCAGCAGCTCTCCTCAGCCCAGAACCTCTCATTTCCAAACAGGTTTTCCCGTTTAAAAAAAAAAAAGCCAAATCAACAATTATCCAGACTCTGAGGCATTTTCTTTGGCTGCATTTTAAAACTCCAAAAACAAATTTCACAATGTTCTGCTGTCTGTCGTAAGCATGTTAATATTTCCTCAGCTCAGTCTGTAAAGATTAACAGTGTTGGTCAGATTTTGGCTCAGACGAGCCGATCCCACTGCTACTCATGTTTAAACAGGAATTATCCTTCAGCAAGAGAAAACATTTGTAAGAAAAGACTCAAATTTTCAAGATTAAACTGATGCTGGATGAGTCTAGTGTGGTAGATGATTATCCATCTCAAGGTGTCATGCTGTGGGCTTCCTCTATGGACAAATGAACACAGAAATTACTTAATCTAGTTTGGGCAGACGCACCCTGACTGGATCAGTCTGACCCAATCTAATGGACCCAGTGAATCATCCTGGTGTAGACGTTGGGCTCATGGAAGCGGAAATCCTGGGTATTTTGGACGGGAGTGAATTTATTTGATTGGTCAACTGTTGAGGCGGGTACCAGTGTCTCCAGCAACCTGTTGCAATGTGTGTAAAGTTCCTGGTTCTGGTTCCCTTTGGGTCGTAGTAGATCCGCCATCTCTTGGTTCTGACCAGCTGTTGGAGGTTATATTCTTGTTCCTCAGTTTAGTCATGTGACCTTGTTGTCTACGAGCAGGAACAGCTGATTGTTTGGTTGGTTTCTGTGGATTTTTCCTGGTTGAGTAAATAAACCTGTGATTTTAGTTTTTTTGTGTGTTTTCACTGAGTGATAATTCTGGGTGGAGGTGGAGGAGTGGTGCTGCGGGCCACCCACAGTCCTCTCCTCCTCCCAGATTCTCTGAACAAATGGAGAGAAACGGCAGTAATGGCAGGTTTGGCCTGATGGGTTTTCACCCTCCTCCAGTCTTCAATCATCGGAAAGCCGGCAGGAATTTCTAAGATGATCTGATCCACCTCGTTTTTACTGTCTGATATTCCTCACCTCTTTTTTTTTCCTTCCTTCATGCTGGAATGTGACCTCTGGTGATCTTGACAGGCCCTCTGGGGGATTTTACACACTTGGAGGGATCTCAATAGGGCCTCGGGGTCTTTTCACAGGAGACGCTCCTTTCTAGCCTGGTGTGGAAACACCTACAGCTTTCCCACCGAAACATTCCCCCTCATCCTGTTTCTCCTGCTCTGTAAGCGAAGCTCCAGGCTCTTGCCTCCTCGGCCCGTCGCTCCGTCTTTCTTCCCTCTCTTCCCGGTTCTTTGAAAGGCCTTCCCTCCGCCTCCCTCTCACTCGCCGCCTTTTCATCTCCTGCTGAGGTCATCGGTTGTATGTGGCTTCGGCGTTCCTCGCTAATCGATAACAATGTTCCCTCACCTGACAAAAGAACGCGCTCTGGATGCAAGCAGAGCCACGGGAATGATCGGAATGTGTTTGAGGATTAAGGTGGATTTCTAATCCACTGGAAACCAAACAGGAAGTTTTTGGAATCGAAGCATCCAACCTTGGTTTGTTTCGGTTTAGTCTGGAGAGATGGAGCCAAACGCATCCGGCTGTTCCAGCTTTCCGGCCTCATCAGCCTGAATGTTTTCTGCTCCTGTTGGGATACAAGTTGGAACGGGTCCTTGCTGAGCAGGATGGGGGTGGGAGACGGGAAAGCACCTGAGGATCTGAGGAAAATTATCCTGCCTTTAAATAAAGAGGTTATTGTCACACGTGAGAGTAAAGGAGAGCGAACTTCCTGTGGCTCGTTGAGGCGTGACGCTCCGGTTTGATCTCAAATTGGTTTTAATTGGCTCTATTAATGCAGATTAAAGGCTGTTAATCAGTGGAGTTAATCCAGCAACCCTCGGCTTGTTGGCTCCTTTCTGGTGGATCTTGTAGGAATGTGGCTGGTTTGGCATTTAGCCTCTCGGATCATTTGCAAGAGAATGAGGCAGGATTTTTAAAGGATGTTTTTCTTTTTTGTCTCCCTTGCATGACGGGGCGCTGTGAAAGCCGCCGCGTTGAAAGGACGAAGGCAAGGAGGGGAGCGTGATAAATAGTATGACTAGGATGTAATAATGGTTCCTGCTTTGCTGTCCGCTGGTCTATAAAATCCCTTTGGGCCCAGGAATGTTGGCACGGAGAGAGGAGCTTTTTGTCCTTCCTGGCGGCGCTGGCGGGCCGCCGAACCCGACCTCCCTCCACCCCGTCCAACCGCTGCATACTCTGGCAGCGCCGACGGGAACTATACGGGTGCATTTAGCTTTAAACCCCCCGTATCACTTTCATCCCTCTTCTTTCTTTGAAAGAACTGTAATTAAACTACTTCCATGAATCCTGCAGGAACTCCGGACAGAACCAGGAACTCTGGAGACTGGAGACATTTTCTGTGGTGGTTGGACTGGATTAAAGTTTTTAATCAAGTTAATTGTAGGGTTATTATCACAATCTAATCAAACTATATATCAACAAAATCATTATTGAATAACTGGACATATGAGCACAAACACAAAGACATTTCTTGTTTTTAATGTTATTCAGGTTATTCCACCATCAAATTAATTTTTTTAAGCAAATCCTTTTGAAATGTGGACCGTTTACGCCGACGTTGGCCTTGGGGACGTCTGTGCTGCTGAAGCATGTTTAGCATTGAGATGCCGCTTTAGCCTTGAACAGCTTCGCTGGCGAGCTAACTCCTGTTAGCACAGCAACAGACTTTTCCAGCGTCTTCATCAGATTGTTTCTGGAAGCAGAACTTAATCCTGGCTGAAGCATCTTCGTTGTCAGGTTTACGGGCGTAGACCTGTTAGAGACCAGTTTCCTCTCCTGGTCTCTAAAGTAAACTCCAGACATTTGAGTAAGATTCATCTCCCGATTCCACAGTCCTTTCCAAAGATTTGTTTCCAGTCTGATTTGGAAAAACTTTCTTTGGTTCATCAGTTAAATGAAACATTTTAAAATAAATGTTACATTCTAAGAAAAAAATTAACGCATAAAAATGTAATGATTCATCTAAATTAACACGTTTGGATGACGGCCCTCATAAGACCAACAGGCAGGTGGAAAACCTCTGACATATCAGTGTAACCCTTTTTCTAATTTTGAGCCAAAAAGCTTAAAGTTGGGATGGAAGCTCACATTTTCCCGCCATGTTTAGATTAGATTTCATCAACCCAGCTTGAGCAGAACGGCTGACATGGGATCCTACATCACTGGGAGATGTTAACATATTTTATTTATAATAATCTTTTATATCTTGAGCTCCCTAAAGGTTAAATGTTCTGCAGCTCCATTCTGCTGCGTTCGTCCGGGATGCTGACCATCAGCAGAACTGACCAGCAGTCGCCTTCCTCCTCTGCAGTTCATGCTGAGGTTTTGCTTCGTGAAGCAGCTGAAATCTGACCTCCTGCTCTGCAGGAACGTCATGTTTTACTCCTGCTTTTGGATTTGTTTGCCTGGAGCTCCGTTTATTTGCCTGGCTGTGGTTCTGCTTGGCGTTTTGGATGTGGAAGCAAACCAACTCAGGTTCTGCTGGTTTTCGCAGCTGTTGCGTAACAGAGCCGGTTGCTGTGGAGCTCGGAGGAGTTTCCTCGCTAAATGAGAGCAAATCAAGTTAGTTTGCGTCTCGGTGAATGTCCTCACACAGATCAGAGTGTTTGTGGCGTTTCTGACTGGATCTGCAGAACTTGGCTGGAGGTTCTCGGTCTGTTTCTGTGATCAGCCGAGTGTCGGCGCGTAATTTTCCAGAAAGTTCTGAGTCGGTCGGGACTCTGAGACTGTTTTCCTGCTGGACTCTGCAGGCTGACGTTGGTTCTCGGAGCGTCGGTTTGCTTTGGCTCCTCCAGAGCCGAGACAGGAATGTGGTGGCTGACTGAGCAGCCGAGACCTCGACTGGCGAGCCGGCCCACATCCAGGCACATTCCTCAGTCAGAACACACACACACACACACACACACACACACACCGAGCTACAGTCAGCATAAAGCAGAAGCGGACCAGCCGTGCCTCCAGGCCTGATATTTTCCGTTTTTGTTCCAGGCTCAGGTATCAGAATATAAACTAAACGCTGCAGATTCCTTCTGATCAGAACCAGAACCGACTGCAGCAGGCTTTGGTCCGGCCATGCGTTCATGTTCTGATTCTAAATGTTCAGTATTTTAAATCAGAGCCCATCTTCTCTGAACGCCGCTTGCAGCAGCATGACTCTAATCAGAGTTAATGCCTCTAACTGGGCCGTTCCGCGGCTTCCTGCTGGAAGTCAAAGCTCTTATTGTGTCCATCCATCAGGTCTTCTTGTCTCCTGGGACTTTTGTTTGACACTGAATGGATTTGATGCTTCCTGATGTTTCCTGGCCTTCAGCACTGCAGCTGCATCTTTCATCCAATAAAAGGTCTTCAGCATGGTTGTCTTCATCCGGTTCTGCCTGGAGGAGAAACGCCGGATGTGATGAATGGATTACTGCTCCGTCGCTCACGGCTTCAGGAACGACCCGGTATTGTCTGGTTATCGTGGCCCAACGGTCTCATCACTGGCAGGAAGTGTCCAATAAAAGCTGCGTGGATAAGATCAGCTGCTCCCTCAGGAGGATCCTCATCAGAACCCCATTAGACCCATTAAGCCCAGAACCTCCGCTTCCCATTGAGTCTGTCGCCATGAAACGGGAAGTCTGGGAGAAAACTGGATCTTCTGCTTCTTCTCAGAAATATCTGCATTGGTCCTGGAGTTACTTCTGGACCAAACGACCTGGAAGTCCAACTACTGATTGGAATCAGCTGAAAGTACCAGAAGGCGTTGTAGGAAGACCGGGCATGATGTTCTGCTCCAGACTGAAACCGCATCCTGAAAGGTCCGGTTGGGGGTCATGCGCCTCCGGTTGGGAAAGCGGCCGGATGTTTGAAAGGTGGAGCGGCTGCCTGCCGTTTCCACGGCTCCGTGTGAATGGAGCATGCTCCTCTCCGGGTCGGCAGACGGAGGGATTGTTTTCAGTTGGACCCGGTTGGTTCACTCATTGACATGCTGGAGGCATGTCCACATCTTTGTTCCCTGTCACAGATTGGACCCGGGTCCAAACTGGGTTGTTCTGGACCGTGGGTGGCCCAGGAAGGAGGTGATGATTAGTCGTAAGCTGCTGAATGATTCGTGTTTGAAAAGTTTTCTCATAAATAAACCTGGAGCTGAAGTTTCTGCCCAGGAATATACCGAAATATCCCATAAAACTTCTACAACAGTTGGTCTGAAATGCAGTCAAACTTCGTCTTTTATCTGTTGACCGGTTTAATCGGCAGCATTCCCAACCACATCCCAGCGGAAGGAAAACTCCAGCCGTTTCTTCGTTTGCTTGTTGGAAGTTTTCTGCTCCTTCCTTCGCCTGGAGATTCACGCAATGAACTCTGAGTCACATGATCAGCGAGACCAAACAAGCTCTGCAATTAAGAAGCTTTGGTTGAACAAAGAGCGGCTCTGTGTGGCAGAAACGGGCCGGATGGTGGGAGTTTATCCGGGTCGGAATGATGATGATGATGATGGTCTGGGTTGCAGGTCCGTTCAGAGTGAGAAGTAACAGATTTTAACTCTGGATCCTTTCTCAGTTCCCCCTTCCTGTTTGTCGGATCCATCTGGATGCAAGGTTCTGGTTTGGCTCGGCTCCACAGCCGCCTGCGGGTCACATGCGGCTCATTACAGTCGGAACCGAAGGCGGACGGCCGCTGATGTTTCTGTCAGTAAACATCGTCTCTCTGCGGCACATGGTGTCGTTTATTCCCGCTTCTCCATGAAGTTTGGACCGCAGCCGGCCCGGCTTTGTGTTGCTGTTCTGGAGCGCGAACACATTTGGTTCCAATCTGCCTGTTGAGGTTGGCTGCGGTGGCGTTTCCAGGGCAACAGCCGTGTTTGGTTAGCCGTCCGCAGCTTCAGTTTCATCTCCTGAGCTTTGTGTCGGCCGGGTGCAGCCCGGTATTTATAGCGCCGTCCATTAAAGTTGCTGATCTTATTGTTTACAGGCTTTGTTTGTGGTTCTGTTGGGTTTCATGTTCTGTGGATCGACTCGGCGCTGCCGTGTCTCTGAACCTCACTGGGGTTATTTTTGTCACGGACTCGGCCCGGTTCTGGTCTCCTCTTGCGTAACGGATCCCATCTTCCCGCCCTCGGTCCGACTGGGATGATCCCGCTCTGACTCGAGTTTCATAACTGCAGGGGGTTAAAGGTCAGGGGCCGCCAGGATGAGGAGCCGTCATGGTAAACATTAACATGGTGACGATTCCAGCCAGTTGAACCAGTTTAACTCTAACTGGTTGGAACGTAGCGCACTGGAACATGAAGCTTCAGTTTGAGCTGCAGAACTAAAAGCAACATGAGTTCAGACCAACTTCCTGAGCCGAGTTGATCTGTGGTTCATTACTGAACATGAAGCAACACCGGATGAAACATTAAAGATCTTCAGTTTTAACGAGTCACTGATTAACAGCCAGATGAACGTCTGAGCCGGTCTGCAGGGCAGAACCAGAGAATCTTCCCTCGACGCAGAAAACCGTCTTATTTGGGTCGAAAATGCATTTTTAAAACTCAGCAGGTAGATTGTCCAGAACAGATCTGTCAAACGTTTAAATGTTTTCACTGAACTGATGAATCGGACTGGACCCACAGTTACCCAAATGAAAACGACAGGAAACAGAACTGCTGTCAACGTCTTCATCCCCTTCAAAATAAGAGCATGAATATAAAACTGTTCTGTTCATTATTCAACTGAAAGTTTCCAAAACAGCCAAGTAAATGATGCTTTATTATTTGTGGTAAAAACTGAAATTGCCAAATGTTTTCAAAGTCGGTAAAAATGCTGAGCTAAAATTGGTTATTATTTGTGATTGAGTTGAACTAACTTTGTAAAGTTCCTCCAGACATTCGTTGTGAATTGGTGCTTTATGAATGAACTGAATTTTCTTTCCATTTTTCCTGGAGCCAAATCCAGTAGTAATCTCCAATAGCTCCAAGCTCCTCCAGGAGCCGGGACAAGCAAACCTTTGTTCTTTACTTGGTTCTGCCGGTTTTAGTTCTGGTTGCAGAGTCGGAATAAATATTTACTCACAAACCCAAAATGTTCCCAGTTAAATCCGGCTGAAATATGCCAGCCGTAAAGGTTTGTCATTTTAAAAAGAAACAGTTTTCAGGGCCTTTAAACCTGCTGGAAGCCGCAGAGTGAAGAGAAGCAGGCCTGAGGGGTCGCCACGGAAACCTGTGACTCAGTCCTGGTTTAATCAGCCCGGCTCCGAGGAATGGGATTCCTGCAACGTAACTCGGCAGGCATGTTGCAGCCCGACTCAGCCACGAGTCATCGCTTTACGTCTGAGGCAGAACCGCCTGCAGGGCCGGAAACGGGTCTCTGAGCCGAACTTCCAGAAAACATTCCCTGTCAGGGTGAAAGTATCATGAGAGGGAAATGGCTGCTCCGGCTCCAGAGCCGAGTTCATCGACACGTCGCTGCAGAACTCACATGGAAGTGATTACCAGAACCATGACGTCGGCACTGCTGGCCCGGCCCGTCAGGATGTGGTGTTTGTGGTCGACTTTTATTCCGAGAAATTCCCGTTTCTATATATAAGAGCTGAAAAAGCTCAATGTTTTATTCCTGTTTCAGTTAAATCTGCTCTCTGGTTCAGTTCCCTTAACTGGACTGAACTGACGTACTAAACCACAGCAGTCAGGAATGATCCGTTCAGCGGACTCGTTTGGTTCTGTTGACGCCAACGCCGGTCGGATTGAAGTCAGAACCAGGAAGAGGTGAAAGCAGGAGTCGTTTTGTCCTAAGAAGCTCTGCAGCTGTGAGGAATGAGTCTCTGAGGAAAACGTCTGGAACAAGGAATCCTGTTGAAGTTTGGCTGCAAGTTATCACTGCATGTTTTCCCGTTTTCCAACTGAGAATTCCCAGTCCACAGATTTAAAAACCACTGAGAGGATTCTCCTCCGGCTGATGAAAAATATTCAGAATGAAGTTTTTCTTCTCTGCTTCCTTCCTCTGGGAGCTGAACAGTTTCCTGCTTTTAGCAGCTGGTTGGGAATTTCTGTTTCACACACACACACACACACACACACAGCTTCATCCTTAAGCTGATTAACTGTGTGTGTTAATCAGGCTGATGGAGGTGTGTGTCTGCAGTCGGTGGGATCCTGAAATGTGATTAAAGTGCCGTTGGGTCTGGTTCGGTTCGGTCCGGTTCTCAGTGATGATTCCTGGTTCTGGATGTTTAAAGATTCCCGGGAATTCTGGCTCTGTAGCTTTGGGAGTGAAATCCTTCCTGAACCGCCCGTTGTGTCCCAGCAGGTCAGGGAGACGGAGACATGGATGCCCATGAGCACCACGCAGACGGTTGCCATGTCGACGGACGGCGGCGACCTGGAGGCATCGGGAGACTCTTCGAACGGCTCCGACTTTGGTTTCACAGACGATGAAGACGACGATTATTACGACGAAGAATACGATATGTCCGGATCCGGAGAAGGAGGTCGGTTCTGGTTTTTAAAAACAAAACGTTCTTTAACTTCTGCTTGGATCTAAAATACTTTTTTTTTTCGTTCTCTTTAGAAACCGAGTCCAGACCTTCAGCTAAGGTGAGAACGGTTCTGAATGCAAGTTCTGTGAGGTTCTGGAACGAGTTCTGACCCGGTTGTTTTCCCCTGCAGCCCGACTTCGATAACAGGATCCCTGACCTGCCGAACCCGGTGGGACCAAAAGACGAGATCAACGTGGTGAAGAACACAAACGAGATTCCTCTGCTGGGCAGCGAACCCAAAGCCAAGGAGGAGAACCCGTCCAACGTCCTGATGTCCCAGGCCACAGGGGACAGCATCTTCAACAAGACGGAGGTCCTGGCAGGTCGGTACCGGCTCCGCGGCTCAGTTTTACACATTCTTACTGTGAAAATGTTAGTTTAGCTTCTCCTAGATGAATTTTTCCAGATAAATTCTTATTTTAACTTGTAAAATTTAAAAGTCTGTGTTGCCGTTTGGTCATCAGCTGTTTATACTCAGGCTCTTATTTTGAAGGCTGTTTTACGCATCAGTCCTGATTCCCGCTTCACACTGTGACTGTTTTATTCCCCAATAATTTTATTTAAAACAGACATAATGGAGCAAAATATTTTATAACATTTGAATAATTTTAAATTAAGTTGGTTTTACCGTGTGAAGCGGTGGTGTCCAAACTTTCCCCGTTTTTTTTAGTTTTTGTCAACAAAAAACAAATCTGTGAATCATTTAAGATCCAGATCATAAAGTGATTAAAACTGTTGCAATTTAAAGGAAAAACCAGGAATTTCATGTTTTAGGTCTCGTTAGTCGTTTTGTTTTATTGGCCAAGTTTTTACGGTTCTTGACTCAAAATCATTTGGAGGGCGACAGATGGCCCACGGACCACAGTTTGGACACCGCTGATTTACAGTCTACTTCAGGGAGTTGTGTATTTGATTAAATGAAATAAAAAGTGTTTTTGTTTGTCTGCTGCAGCTGTGATCGCCGGCTGCGCCGTCTGCCTCATGTTCGCCGTGCTCCTCATCCTCCTCCTCATCTACCGCATGAAGAAGAAGGACGAAGGCAGCTACGACCTGGGGAAGAAGCCCATCTACAAGAAGGCCCCCACCACAGAGATCTACGCGTAGGCCCCGCCCCCAGCCCCGCCTCCTTCCTCCCTGACCTCACATACACACAAACACACACACCTCAGCCGTAAAAACCCGACCGGCGGCCCTGCAGTGCCTCATCTTCATCACCTCGTGTTTCTTCAGCGGCGTGGCGCCGCCTCGACCGATTGACTGACTCCGCCTCCTGATGCGTACGAATCTCACTGACCAATCAGAGGCCGAGTTTCCTGGCAGGTTGGAGCGTTTCCGCTACGGTACGCCGTGTTTTCCGGATCAAGCTGAGAGGAAAAAAACAACAGAATGAACTTTTCCTGCTAAACACTAACAGATGTTATTTATTCACTCGTCTTCCTCGGTCTGCAGTTTCTGTCTCCGTTTTCTTTTTTTTTTTGATGGAAAAGTTTTTCAGACTGCTTTTATTTTGAAAAGGCCTGTAGCCGTTAGCTTTGCTGTTAGAGATCACAATCATGTTAATATTTTTAATTTATCTGCTGGAGTCCCAGAGGCAGGCCTGTCTTTGTTTCTGCTCTCTTCTGTAACAGATTTTTAATTAAAACGAGCTTCCGATTCCTCGGGTCCGTTTCCCTTCCTGCCCGACGATCCGGCGCGAACAGCCCGGGAAAACACAGAGCGCCTCCGCTGCTGGGAAGGAGCGAGAATCCTCAGGATGTTTGGGAATGATCACCGCCGTGCCTCCAGTTTGGGACAAACGTTTAGCAGAAGTGAATTTTCTGAGGAGTTTCCAGGGTTGCATCCCGACTCGTGAATCGAATCCCCCTTTCATTCACAAAAGGTGAAAATCCTCCGTTTTCTCCACATCCTGGAGGTTCTGGAAAACCTTTCCGTCTCGTTTTGGTTCTGTTGTTTTTTTTTCGTCAGGGCTTTCCTCGATAAGCTACACCGACCGTTTCTCCAGTCAGCCTGAGACTCCACGAGCAAACCTGAAGCCGAAATATTAATAATTTCTGTAATGAAGCTCGTGTTTCTCTGGCGGAGGCGGCCGGACCCAGACTGATCCGACCTGTAAATAGTCCTTCAGTAAAACGTATCTGACGGTTGGTACCGCTTCCTGGCAGCAGAAATATCTACCAAATATTTAAATGCCAAATAGTTTGTGTTTCCCACGGTAACGCTCATGTGATCGACTGTAAATGTAAAGTTTTTATACTAACTCTCCTCGTCCTCCTCGTTTGTTTTCCTGCTTTAGATCAACTTCCCTTTTTGTATTAATTTAACTGTCAAATAATTTTATTGCCTTCCTTCAGGTTTGGGTGTCTGGCCCTTTAAGCTGTTGTACATGTGATTCTCAAAGTTTTATACACACTAGTTTGATTTTCAGAGACCTAGTTTTGAAACGATTTATTTTGTAAGAATTTCTTTTATCTTTTAGACATTTTTTTGCTTTCATATTTATGTTTTTTGCTGTTTTTATGTGTAGAAGGAGAAATCATGTGGTTCATCTCCATATTCAGGGGATGTTGGGCGATGAGCCGCGTCGACAGCGGCAGACCTGGGCCTGACCTTTTTCATTTTTTTGTTTTTTGTTACTGAAACGAAACGACGTGGGCGAGTCCAGGAGGTTCTGTAGGACCGAGCCGACCTGGACGCCTGGCGGCGCCGGGGGCGCAGCTCTGAGATTAGGAGTTGGGAAAAATAAAAATGTCCGTCGTTCCCAGGTCTGGGCGGTTGGCGTGGAGAGAAAGTTCTGCTGCTTAATGTCAAACACCAGTGGAGCGAAGAAGCCAATGAATCATTGGTTTCTACATGCAGGTTCTGATTTATTATTGGAAATAAAGCTATTTTTATGCACATTAACAGATGAAACCCGTCTCTGTCTTCTGTCATCATGACCTCCAGATGCGCCGCTTCAGATTTCTAGACTAAATATGATGCAGCTAAACTAAAAACAAAAGTCCAGCCTTGGACTTTTTCCATGAATTATTTAAATACCTGCTGATTAAAGAATCAACTTTTGTTTCTTTACAGAACGATGGAAGAAGGAAAACTTCCCAGAATCCTGCTGATATTCCCAGCAGATTTGTCTCGAGGCATTTTACCAAAAATTCAGTTCATAAATTTATTCCAAATGATCGTAACACGATCGGTTCATTGTTGAACTGAAAGTCAACAGAATGATACCAAAATTATTCTTTTAGATCTTTTTATTTCTCTGCATTAATTTCCACAGAAAAATAAAGTATTTTTTCTTTTTTGGGCAAAAGTTTTGTTTCTCTTTAAAACCCCAAAAACTTGAAATTGTATTTCTTTTAGAAAAGTATTGCATTTCCTCTGGTAGATATTTATCATAAAATGTTTTTTCCAAACGTCGTGAAACATTAGCGGCTCTAAATTTTTTATTTGGCTGGACTGATTATTAATCAGTGCATCAAGTTCAGTTTATTAAAATTAAACTCATGACACTAAAAGTACCAGAAGTATCGATTTAATCCTTTTTCTTTAAGTTGGAAACTATTAACATTTTTCACAGAAGAAAATGTATCTATTCAAAAGTTTATTTTTATTTTGTTTAAACCCTGAAAACTGAATGAAGATGGTATTTCATATAATCAGGTATCGAATAGATATTTATGTAAAGATATTAAGTTTTTTCCAAATGGTTTTAAACCAGCTGGACTGAGAAATGTTTGGACAGTAAAGATTGCAGAGGTCTGAATGAGATGCTGTTGACTGTAAAAGGGAAGAATCAATGTGCTGCAATGGCCTAGTCAAAGTCTTTTTAGAGAACTGTGCATAAACCTAAATGAAGAAGCAGCATTGGAAAATCATCCTGTAGGATCTGAAGCTGAAAAAGCAGAAACTTTTCTGTTCTCCGTGTCTGGACGTTCCGAGCGGAGCCGGTCCAGTATGTACTCAGGTGGACGGGATGAAAGCGCTGAGCTCCTCCTCCACCTGAACAAACAACTTTTCCCTCTCAGCCTCAGTCTGTGTGTGTGTGTGTGTATCTGGGTGTGAGTAAAAATGATGCAGCAGTGTGTTTGAGCTGGACCGTTCCCAGGAACGGCGCATTCATCCAGGTTTCGCCTGCGGTGCCGTTTTCCCGGCAGCCGGCAGGCAGCAACATGTTCTGGTTCTGCATGAATGTCAACAACAACAAGCCTGAGTCACAGATGATGGTTTGTTCAGCTTTCAGAGAAACCTCCAGGAGCACGACGGGATTTTTTTTCCATGTTCTGCGCTTTCCCGCTTCGTTTCAGACTGGCTGGAACAGATTTCACTTCTCGCTGTTTGGGTTTTGGTTTCTACGTTTCATGATTCACCGAAAACCCAGCCAGTATGGGCCCCATGTGGGGAAAAGGAGGGCAGACTATATGGGTCCCATATGGGTTTGTCCGCGGGTTCCACGATGGCCCTACATGGGTTTGCCCATGTAGGGCCAGAGCCCACATGGGCCCTGCATGGGCCCTATATGGTGGTGGCCCACATGGGTTTGTCCATTTAGGGCCCATGTGGGCTGTGGCCCTATATGGGCAAACCCATGTGAGACCCATATATCAGCCCTCCTTTCCCCCACATGGGTCCCACCTAGGCATGCTGGCTGGGAAATAGTTTCATCACATCAGCTGCTGCAGGGGCGTTTGAAG